AGCATAATATCAAAACCAAGAAATTTCTTTAAAAGATCGTATTTATTTATTTTTAGAGAGAGGAGAAGGAAGGGATAAAGAGAAGGGTAGCAACATTGATACAGGAAACACTGATTGGTTGCATACACCCCAACTAGGGATGGAACCTGTGACCCAGGCATGTGCCTGGACTGGGAATTGAACCAGCCACCTCTTGTTTTGTGGGATGATGCCCAACCAACTGAGCCACATCAGTCACGGAAAAACCAAGAAATTGACATTGACAAGACCTAGCCTCTCCCTCTATGCCTAATACCCTGACAACCACTAATGTGTGTTTTTAAAAATTTCTATAATTATGTTTTTTCCATTAATGGTACACAAATGGAATTATGCAATAAGCATCCTTTGGGGATTTTTTCTTTTTTCACTCAGCATAATTTCCATGAGGTTTATCCAAACTGTGTGTATCAATAGTTCTTTTTTTAAAAAAAAATTTCTGAGTAGTATTCCATGGTACGGATATGTCATAGTTGTTTTTTTTCATATTCACCTGAGGATATATTTATTGATTTTAGAGAGAGAGGAAGGGAGAGAGAGCCAGTGAGAGAGAGAAACATCAATGTGAGAGAGAAACTTCTATCAGTTGCCTCCTATAGGCACCCCAACTGGGTATTGGACCCACAACCCAGCTTCGTGCCCTGACCCGGAATCACACCCACAACCTTTCAGTGTATGGGATGATGCTCCAACCAACTGAGCCAGAAGGTTAGGGCTGGATATGTCATAGTTTGTTTAGCCGTTTACCCAATTAAGGAGCTTTGGATAGTTTCCAGTTTGGGGAACTTACAAAGCTACTATGCACATTCTTGTACAACCTTCTGCATGAAAATAAGTCTTCAATTTGAAACCAAAAAAGTTGTTTTTGCGCTGCCTGTCACTATCAGAACCAGTAAGTAGAGACAAGGATTGAATCTATATGGGCACTTTATTCAGATGCCTGCGAGCTGAGAATATGGTGGTGATGTACCCTCAAAAACCATCTTAACATTTCATCTCAAGATGACCTTTTTATAAGGAGAAGAAAGGGTAGGTAAGGCATTTGGAAAAGAAGGTTAATGAGATAAGAGTTGCAGTCTGTGGGTGATTTTCCTAGTACTTCTTCCATCTGTTCATCAACAATTCTTTATCTGTGTTCCCTCCCTAGAAGGCAGTGACTCAGATACTGTCTCCATCCTTGCAGACCCCCAAGGCATAAAGGTTGAATTGTTTGTGGACTTTATGGAGTCACATAGGTCATGCATTCCAATTCCTGGAATTACAGTTTTCCACATGCATTAATCGCTTAAACCTATCAACTATAGCTAAGGCTAAAATCTTTAATGCTTGAGTTCCCCTATCAATTTCTCTGGGGTAAATGCTCAAGGGTGCAAGTGTTGGTTGTATGGTAAGTACATTTTTTAAATTTTCAAAAGAACTGTGAAACTATTTTCCAAAGTGCCTATATCATTCCTACCAAAAATATGTGTTTGTTCCATGTCTAAAAAAGCTATTCCTAACCCAAAATAATAAAAATTTACTCCTAAGTTTTCTTCTATGAGTTTTGTAGTTTTAACTCATACTTAGGTTTATGGTTTATTTTAAGTTAATTTTTCTGTGTTGGGTGAGGACCGCAATAGTTTTAGGGTTCCACAAAGATGTTCTAAATCTTCAAAGTCAGAAGAAAAGTAAGTATATTTGGATTACATTAGTCTTTATACCAATGTGGTTGTAAAATATAATCTTTAATAGTTTTTTAAGGAAGAAGAGGACTCTGAGATTCCTTTTGACACCAAATATATAGCGTCTTTGCACATCACTTCTTCAATATTAACAATTCAATTTTGACACTAACTCCAGGAATAAGCTCAGACCCCAAAGATTAAGAGCTCAGTTCCACATGACTGCCCCTACTTCAGCTACCAGTCACCAGTCCCATGGGCCCCTGGTACTCCTAAATGACCAATTTGAAGATTTCTATAAACCCCTCGTCAGGTTTGATAATTCACTGGAACAACTCACAGAACTCAGAGAAACATTTTACTTAATGTTTATCAGTTTATTATAAAGGAAACAGCCCAGGAACAGCCAAATGGAAGATGCGTAGGTCAAAGCACTGGGGGAGCCGACAGATTCCAATATCTCTCCTGGCACCCCGCTCCCAGTACTTCCATATGTTCACTAACCTCCCTCTAACATAGTGATTTTTAACCTTTTTCATTTCATGGCACACATAAACTGATTACTAAAATTCTGTGGCACACCAAATATATATATATATATTTTTGCTGATTTGAGGAAAAAAATAGGTATAATTTTGATTCAGCCATACCAGACGGCTATTGTTGTGCTGGCTGCTGTTACTGTTTTTTTTTTTACTCTAAGGGAAAAGAGGTCAGTACCCCTGACTAAGCACTCAGGTATTGCAAGTTTTAAAAATTCTTGAGGCACACGGGTTGAAAATTGCTGCTCTAATCTCATGTTTGGTCTTTCCAGTGACAACTCCCACCAGGAACCCCACTATGAGTAACTTCATTAACATAAACTCAGGCTTATTGTGAATAACAAAAAGACAATACTATAAGGAAGTTTCAAGAGTGTTAGGAGCTCTGTGCTGGGAACCAGGGACAAAGTTGAATTATATTTTTTATTATACCACAGTCTCTACAGGTCAAAGTGTCTAAGGCCACAGAAGTCTTAGTGTGGTCTTGGTAGTTGAGTAGCCTTCCCAGCAGTCCATTTGTGAAATTATGGCAGCTTGGAGAAGGGTGATGGTAGTGGAGATCCAGTGAAATGGCAGGGATTGGGATATGGTTTAGAGGCAGAGTCAGCTGGACTGGTTGATGAACTGGATGTGAGAGAAGGTTGAAAGAAAGGAACGAGGGATATTTTTTCATTTTTGCTCTGAACAATTGGGTGGACGACAGTGCCATTCCCTGAGAATACTCGGAAAGGGGCAGGATTGGGGGTGAAAATCAAGGCTCTTTGACGTGAGTTTGAGATGACTCTGAGTCATGAAGTAGGGATATTAAGCAGCTAACTGCGTTTTGTTGGAGAGGTCTGTGCTGGACAGAAATTTGGAAGTCATCAGTTTACAGGCTTAAGGTCAAGGAGTTGGATGACATCCCTTGGGGAGAGTAAAATAGAGAAAATAAGAGTAAGGACTGAGTTTTGGTACACAGCAATATTTAAAGATTGAGTCAAAGGGGAGAAATCAATGATTTTGAAAAGGAGACCCAGTAAAGGAACAGGAAAACCCCAACAGTGAGACACTGAAGGAAGTTAAGTGGGAAGAAATGTTTTAAAAGTAAGGAAGCTTGTTACAGGCTTGTAGTTCTGCTGAGAGGTCAATTTACATAAGAATAGAGAATTGGCAATTGTCTTTGGAAACGTGGAGATCGTCAGTAATCTCAATAAGTGATCTTTTAAATTTAATTTTACTTGATTTTTAAAAATTTAACCTTTATTGTATTTTTTTTCCATTAGCATTTAGTCCCCTTAGACACCCCTCCCCATAAGTGATCTTGATGAGGGAAGTCAAAACTGGATCAGAGTAGGCTGAGAAGTAAATGTGAAGTGAGGAATTGGGAACAAGTCCTTTAGAATTTGGAAAACCTTTCTGAGAATTTATGCAGGAAGAAAGGAGAGAAATCGGGCAGTTCCAGAGGGGATTTTTTAGTTAAGGGAGATTTGTTTTAGATGGCAGGAATTTTAGTATGTTTATATGCTGATGGGAGTAATCTAATACAAAGAGGGAAAAGTAATAATGCTGGGAAGGCAAGGTAATTAATTGTAGGAGTAAAATCTTTAGGAATGTGGAAGGGAAAGAAATCCAAGTCACTGTGAAGGGACTGGTCTTCAGAGGCACAGGTACACTTCTTCATTCGTAGTAACCTCAAGTTTCTATGCCTATAAGAGTAGTTTTGATGGTGAGAAGACAGGGGAGTTTTTTGTTGTTGTTGCTTTGTGTGTGTGTTTTTTTGTATGAGGTGTGAAGCAAAATTGAGCAGCAAAAAGTGGGGTTTGGGGGAAGAGGTATCAGAGGCTTTTAGAAGAGGGAAAGGTGTGAAATAATTATTATGTCCGCTTAAATGTTAATTTAGTGGAGAAAGCCCTCCCAGGGTTAAATATACCTCCCCCTTTTTTCCTTCACTGGACCATTTGCTCTTTTCTGGTACACATCACCAGTTGTAGTATCTTTACTGGTTCACTTGTCTGTTTTCCCATTGAAAAAACTACAGTTGGCAGGGACTTTGTTGCATTTAATTTCCCATTGTATACATAACCAGTAGAGACAGGGCCTGTACATAGTCACTAAATAATTCTTGCTGAAACAAATTAGTTAATGAATGAATGTCCTCAGAATTTTGTCTTAGGCCCCTTGTTAAATGCTTGTTTGGGCTATTTACTTTTCCTCTCTGAGCTTTCATTTCTGAATACATATTTATATACCAAGGAACTTGTGATCTTTTCCCTGTATACCTCACTGAGTTGTCATGAGGAGGATCTGAGCTAATAAACCTGGAAATGCTTCATTAAGTGATCTTTAAACATAACGGACTGTTATTTTTAGTCCACGGGTACCCCCGCAGGTAGCAGGTGCTATTGGGGGAGGGGGGCACTATTGTTTTTTGTGACTGTAGCCCTCGAAACTTTGCAGAAGGATTCTTCAGGCCCCGTAGGGGTGGGGCTCAGGCCAGCAGTCCTCCCGCAGCGGTCGGTCCTTGGAGGCGCTAGCCCGGCCAGGATGGGGGGTGGGGATGCTGTAGGGGGAGTAACTGTCAAACCTCCCCTCTTGGCGCCATTATTTAAATGCTACGTGTCCGTTTCGCAGCTATACGTGCCCGGGGCGGGGCTCCGAGCTCCAGCAGCGGGGCGGAGGCCGGGGGCGGACTGGGGAGGTGGAGGGACGAGAGGGGACGAGCCGGGGCGGGGCCAGGCTGGTTAGAGGGGCGGGTCTAGCCGCGGCCCCCGGCGAGGTTCAGTGCGCTTGCGCTGACAGACGCAAGATGGCGGACAGTGCGGAACTAAAGGTAAAGCGCAGCTCGAATTCACTTCTAATATTCGGCCGCGGAGACTGTGCCGCTGGTGCCGGGGGGGATGGGTCTGGCCCTGGGGGGCCGCTCGGGCCTGCCTCCACCCGGGTCTGGAGTTGTAGGGAGGAGCGGCGCGCCTGGCCCTAGCTGAGGGGGCCCGGCAGCGGCGGGCCGCGGGCCCCGGGTGCCTCGGGGGCGCTGACGGGTCGTCGCCGGCGTGTTATTGTTGTGGGCGCCCCTGGCGGGGGTGGCGGGGGAAGAGATCGGGAGTCGGAGGTGCAGGCTGCGGCTACCCCTGAGGCTCGGTTTCTTCTAGTCCAGTTAGCCTCCCCAGCCCCCCCTTGGGGTGCGGGGGCTGGGGTAGGGTGTACATGTAGGGGGGATTGGGAAGCTTCCCGTCGCCGCTTCCTCTTCCTTCTTTGCAGTCCCGGGCTCCTGTCAGGCGCTCTCTTCAGACCCTCGGGAACTTGGCTCCGGCCGCCCCGCCCCTCCGTGGCTCCCCGCTGCCCCCGCCCCGGACTCGGCTCTCCCCTGCTGCCCGCCTGTCAGGAGGCTCTTGGGGTGCCCCGCTCGAGGGCAACACGATCCTGGGGCGATAGGGAGGGTATTTGGGGAGAAGCTCCAGTAAAGTTTAGTGAGCCCCGGGCCGGCGTTAGGGTTCGGCCGAGAGGTAGCGGGGAATCTGCCTGGGCGGGACGTTACTCTCTCTGATTCTGGGCAGTCGGGGGGAGAAACCGTATTTGGAAGCAGTCGTGGGTGGTGGGAAGCACCTCTCTTTTTTCCTTCGGCTAGTGTGGAGGGTGAGAGGAGCCTTTGGGGGTCTCTGCACACACCATGATGGCGATGCTATAGCTGATGGAGGTGAATGGTTCGTGTTTATATCCCCCCGTTGCCTTTTGTTTGTAGGGACATCTTGCTGGCCATGTTGATTTGAAGGAAATTCTCCCCTCATCCTACTTCAACCCCCAATAAATAGAACGTTCCTCCGTTCCTCTCAACTGTACCGATTACTCACGCCTCGCGAAATTGGATGAAAGGGTGCCCCCTTTGCTCCGCTTTTTCTCCCACCCCAATCTTCTTTACCTGATGATGGCTTCTTTACCGAAGCAAATATACCACTATACAAGCAGTTGGGGGGTGGGGGGAGGGATGGAACCCTTATGATTGGATTGTGATAAATGGGGCTCCGCTCGAATAATTTTGGTTTAGTAGCAAGCAGTTTTTAACTAACGGGTATTATTTCGAGGCTCTGAACGCGATATTCCCCTCTCTGTGGCTTCCTATGTGTGAACCAAGCAGCTGGTTATATCCTGACCCAGAGAACTGACATCAGTGGGGATTGGGATATACAGTTGTAAATCTTTGAGGAATCTTCTTATTATAATTAGTAAAAATCATTAAAAAAATTTTTTTTTACGTTATAATGAAACGACAACTTCTAGAACCACCACACCACCTTAGTTTCTGGAGAGTTTTTCTGTGGAAAGCTTCGCTGAAAGATCGTTTTCCCCAATAATTTTGCAATGTTAATATCCCAAAATTTGTGTATTCACACACTGTCTTTGAGTGTCATTCTTTTACAATTTACTTCTAATTACAAATTAAGGGAGAGCAGATTTAGAGTGGTTAGTTTCGGTATTTTTTTTCCAACTATTGACTGAAATGGAAAAGCCTAAGGAATTTGAATATTTGGAGGTAATTAACTTTTAAACTAAAGAGTACACAACTTTAGTTCATGTTTTCTGTAGTTTTACTCTTAAAATGTAGTCACTATGTGATCTTTGCCTTCTGATATTTATTTTGTTAGTAATCCTTTCAAATGAAGCTGATCAGTTCTGTTTTACATGGACCAGAGTAAAGCTGAAAAGCTTGTGCTGGCTATATTGTCACTCTTGATGCTGTCCAAAGAAATTGGTATGGAAAGCACATGCTGGGAGATTTCCTCCTTTGTTCTTTCTCATTTTAAGAAAGTGCCTTTGGGGATAGATAGATCTGATCCCTGGTGAGAGTCTTGTTAGGTAAAGTTTCTCTTTACAAAAATGAGCCAGTATCAGATAAACGCTAAACACTTGGGGAAAGACATTTTTCTAAAATTGATCGCCTTTTTTTTGCTCTCTCCAAAATGTTCTTGAGGTTTTCCAGGGGAGTTGTTTTCTACTTTTATGGCCCCGTTGTACGATTTTTTTCAAATTATAATAACTGTTTTAACATACTGGTTTGTATTGTGTGTGCCCATACTTTGAGGGGCTGTGAAAAATTGCTTAGCTGGTGATAGCTGTATTAAAAATCTTGTTAATACTTGATTGTGGTTAGATTTGCTCTTATTTTTGGAGGAGGAAGATGATCTTAGGAATGCCTATCATAGTTGTTTTAGAATTTGTTTATATGATCTGTGCAGTGATACTCCTTTCGGAAATTATATTTTTTGATGGTTTTTCATGACTTTTGGAGGTAAATAGCATTTATTCCTAATAAGGTAGGGAAAGTCACTTAGAATTAAGAAAAACCCAGATTTTTTTCAAAGTTTTAGGTGAAAATACATTACTTCCAGTGGATTTCCAGCTATGAGGATTTGAGTAAATGCAGTGACTTTTTGGTTATCTTAATTTATAGCCCACATATTATTTTGCTGTGGATTATATTCATAATTATTTTCCTCATGGCCCATTTTTGTGAGTCCTTTTAAATCTATAACAAATCTACAAAGAATCAGATGGAAAAATGGAGAGATCCATGTCCCCTGTAGGAATGGTGCAAGCTGCAACACTTAAAGATATTGCCAATAAAAATTGGATTGTGAGTCATGTATATCAAAAAGAGTTCTCTGTGCACATTTGTTTGTGAAAGGTTTAATTTTTCATTAGGGAATATCCGTAAATGGCATTTGTGAGAATGTGAAGAGTGAGCATTTTATTATCTTTAGGAGGTTAAAAGCAGGAGGGTGTGATGGCTAGATGATCTTGGAAGTTAATTATCTGACAGCTTCAGGTATCCCTTCTTTTAAAGTACTTTAAAAAAATTACAAATGTTTTTTGCATTAAAACTCATCAAGTTATGTTGGCATTTTAGCTTACAGGAGGAACAGTGGAAAGGAATAAGTTAATAATCAATTCAGTGGATTAAGTAGTGGAGTTCAATGGGAAGACAACCATACTTTTAAAATCATACTTTTAAAAGTATTATAAGTATGCCAGTAAATTTATCGTCATATTTTGCCTCTTTATTTTCAAGAGATAGCCACTTAATTTTGATATTTGTGGTGTGTAATTCTCTGCTTTTATTTTAGATATAAGCAAGTAAATTGACAATTTATTCATGGATTTGTTTTTGAATCTCCGTAACTTGATTTTTGTCAAGTACCACATTTAGATGGCTTTTGTTTTAGATCACCATTTTTATGAACATTATTTAAGAACAATTTATAGAACACTTGAGTTTTTAGGTATTTCATGTAATTGTTTTGAAATACTGCATTTTCCTCCACCGTTTTCTTTGCGCGATTGTATTGTCTTTCTCTTCAAAGAGTCTCTTGTAATCCCTGTTGATTGCTGTAGTGCTTAGTGGTGAGTCCATAGCTGATTAACCTTGGGTTTCTCCTAGTGAACTCCATCAACACGCTGCTCCGTGGTTCTTGCTGAGGCTTTTGAGTTCACTGTAATTCGTACCCTTTCCTGCTGGTAGCTAGGGATTTAAAAAGAGAAAAACATGGCTAATGATTGTAGTGGCTACTGGAAAGAAGTATCTAAGTTTCTGAAAAACTGGGTATTTAGGATGAGATGTAGCCTTTAAAAACACACAAAACCCCTGGTTCATTACTTCATAGAATTGTGTTTTCTAAAGTATTCTGCTCTGACATTAAGTACCTTTTTTTAAATGTTTGAATAATATATAGTGCTTTGCATTTCATAATGTATCACATTATCTCATTCGATCTTTCCAACAGTTCTTTGATATAGGACAGGCAGATAATACCTCTTTTATTGATAAAAAGTGAGCCCAGAAAGGGTAAGAGACTAGCTCAAGGTCACACAAATAAAAGTGGCAGGGACTTGAACCTAGGTCTTGTGATTTCAGAATGTACTGTAAGCTGCCTTAGAGGTGCCATGCTAGTCCTGGTGCCTTGTTTATTAAGAATTCTGGTTATATTATAGTTGATACTTTCCCTCTTGCTCTTTGCCCTGGGGTGTTTTGGGATGTAACTTGGGTTTTTTGCAAGGAAGATTTTGGAGTTAGTTGGAATCATATTCTTGGAAATATCATTTTGCTTGGGAAAATTTAAGAGAATAGTGAAAAAATTAGGCAGAAAAATAAACAGCACCTGTAATCTTAGCGCTTAGAAATAACATGGTTAACATCTGGGTATCCAGTTAGATTTTCTCTCTCTGAGCATATGTGTTTGTATATTCATCACAAAAAGATGCCACAGTACTCTTTGTAGTGTGCTTTTTTCCATGGCTGTCTTTCCAGGTTAGTAAATATACAGGTCTATATGATCATTTGAAAGGTAACATTGTATTTTATTCAGCTGGTACCTTATGGGACAACTAGATTATTTCTACTTTCTTGCTGTTTTAAACAATGTTTTGACAAACAGCATGATATAAAAGTTTGTAAATGTGTTAGTCTAACTATATTAATATGACAGTCCTTTTGATGCTTTAGGAAGCAATGCAAATGGTGTTTTGAATAGATGAAGTGTGAGTGAAATTTTTGATTTGTTCATTATCTATACTTTTATTTTTGTCTCTATAAACCTTTAGATAAGATTATTAAATGATGGCAGAGATAGATTTTATAAAATGTAAGTGAACATTTCTTCTGATTCAGAACATTTAATAAAGGATGAAATGGATTATGAAATAGTATGTACTTCAAGTATGTTTGATTTTGGGAAATTATATCACAATAATCAAATATTGTAAGATTATGTGCCTTGTTTAGATGCTCATCTGTTTTTAACTGGCATTTTAAAAAGCAATGCTGAACATTAATCTACA